GGTCCCTTCGTGTTGCGTACGCATGCACTGCTGTGAGAAGTGAAACCTTACAAAAGAAGTGCCAAGACGCAGGCAGGCCCGTTCGCCGGGAAGGGGAACGTGGGGAGGGGAGCGGGGATACGTCGTGAAAAGTGCACCCTACGGCGCCCCGGCGTTGGGGGTGAGGCTTCCGCTATCGCCGCAGGGTCTCTTTCCCGCAGAATAAAAATGCTTCCAATATGATTGCAAACCCAGAAGAGCACACCGGGTTCGCGGAGGAAGAGTGTCCGTACAAAACGGTCTCCACTTAGCCTCATCCCTCGGAGGTCACTGCGGGAAAAAACATAATCTCGTAAGGGGTCAAAACGGGCTGCTGCTGCTGCTGCTGCCATGTGTTTAGATAGAAGATATATGTATCGGCGAAGCAGACAACAAAAGATGGGCCAAATGAAAACCAAAAACTAGGAGTGTGAGATTCGTTCGTCCAACATCTAAAAAAAAAAGTTGCACACCTCGAGGCCCGAACGGGCGTTGGCCTCCGGCCTCCGACAGAGCCCCTTTGCGATGCCTCGGAAGTATGCTTCCACGATGTGTTCGGTAGGATCGGAGCACAGGGGCCCGGCGATAGCGCTCTCAGGGTCATACAACTGGGCGCCGAGAGAGAAAGAGAGAGAGCCCAGCGCGAGGGAGTGCAAAAACGAAAACGTCAAACAGGGGATCGTAAAAAAAATCAACTTGGTGTGATGCGGACCGTCCGGCTACGCAAAAACAGAGGACACATGCAGACACCTGCTGCTGTTGGTATCTACTACGTCGAGTCGGAGTCGGAGTCGGATTCGGAGAAAGACTTGTAGTTTGGAATCTACTGGAAGGTGCAAGAGCGGGATACAAAATCGAGCCAATAATCTCCTGCATGTCCCCCCCCGCGCGCAAGGCAGACCACGCATCAGCAAAGCCGCCGGTTTATTTTGTTCTCGCACCCCAGTTGGCCTACAAAAAAAACACTCGCCTGCCAGGGCTCCAAGTTTCTGGCGATGCTGGCCGCTATCCCGGCGTCATGCGGCGGGATGATCTGGCTCCCGTTTCCCCAGTACACCTTGTAGCCGTTGTCCTTTTTGGGGTTGTGCGAAGCAGTCACCATCACGCCCGCGCACGCCTTGGTGTGGGAAACCCCGAAGGCCACGAGAGGCGTGGCCACGGTCCCGTCCATGAGGAACACACGGAACCCCCTCGAGATGAACACCGCCGCGGCAAGGTTTGCAAACCCTGCCGACGACAAGCCGCCCTGGGGTTCGAACAGAGGTCGGGCGTCACACCTTGATATTAATATGGTCTACCCAATGTTGAACCTAGGTTCCTCACACGAAATGCGTCGCACACCGTGGCCGACCCAAGCCAAGTCAACCCCCTAAACCGCGGGCAACGCACGGCCTAGCGGACGGGAACTGGTCGAGCACGCGGCTGCACCGCGTTCTCGGAATGCGGAACGGCGAGAGGGCGCTGGAGAGGAATCGACCGTGTGGTCCGAAGTATTCGCGGGTTGCGCTATCTAAGAGCAACATTGGACAACCAGGCAGAAACATAGACAGAGCCCGTGACAGTTTACGTCAGGGAGGTACTAAACTCATCCCCAGAAACCGCGAAATCCTTCCCAGGCCCAGACAAGGAAAAGGCTGTGAGGGGGGAGGAAAACGGCCGACTTTTTCTGTCCAAAGCCGAGATAGATATGCACCTGTTGCCGGTGGTCCCGTCCGATGACGACACCTCTCGACTTGAACTCCTCACCGCCTTCCTTCTCGAGGTAGCGGCAGAGCCCTTGCGACGTCTGCCAAGACCCCACAACCACAACGAGCGGCCAGCGGTAGGAAACGTGCAGGACATGAGCAACTCCCGCGGTGTCGTCTACCCCAACAGCATCAGCGCACCCGGCCAGGGAATATATAGACTATCTTGGTGCCTGCATTCTGCGATTGGCGGGTACATCAGACTGGCGCCGGAATAGATGGGACGGAAAACACGAACACAGAGAGGATGCACCCACGACCAACCCTACGCTGCATGCACGACACGCATACTATTAATAGCGACCGCGCGGGGATGGCAGGGGCATATCGCTTGTAGGGCGATAAAACGCGCCGATGATTGCAGAAGAGTTCCCCCCCACGTTCTAGCTTCGCGCGAACACACCTGAATGACGACCAGATCGTTGATTCGGCAGAACCCCGGACCCATTTCGCCCCGCAACCCGGATGTTCCGAACGCCAACCGCTTTCCCATCAAGCCCCTGTGCATCCACATCGCATTTCGACAGCGGCGGTGTCGGGGGGAGGGGGGGGGGGC